GAGAGAGAGAGAGAGAGCGAGGGGGAAGGTGACCTTAAGATGATGTGCTTGGTGGGGGCTGTACCACTCAAAACATTACAAAGACATAAGTCAAGAGCTCTTTCATTTTGCACAAAGACAGATAGTGTACAGTGGCTATTTGTGTTATCCGGCTGATTGAGTCCACACTTCACCCTAGTCGGGCATTTTCACTTTTCATTACACACACTTTCACTTTCAATATATAGTTACTTAAATTGTAATACACAGACAAGTATCAGTGGTTAATACACATGACAAAATGAAAAAGAAACCTGTGGAGTTATATTGAGTGTTAACAGTTCATGGATTGCCATGGAGATGCACGTTGTGCAAGGTGAAAATGCTTTGCTAAAATTAGATTACCCTGAGTTTAAACAAGTTGGCGACAGACTGTGAAATTGAGGTATTAAACTGCTCAATACAAGACAGTTATTACTCCAACATAATTTTCACAGGCTTTAACAGGCTTTGACAGGGCACAGCAGTAAACTTTTCTGCATGTAATTCTGCTATCAACTTTTACCTTTTGAGCTGTAGTCACTAGATCTAATGATAATTACAAAAACTAGATCTTCTTTCAGTTTTTAACCTGTGATTTGGTTTGATACTAAAACAGCACTTTTTCCAATACCTTAGTGTAGTATTATGAATATCTTTTTACCCATTGTATTTAACAAAATATGCCAACCTTAATTCAAGAGTATTATAAAGTAAAATATGACCTTAGATCAGGAAATATCTAATCAGAGAAAGTAAACAAGCCTAAGAATATGAGCAAACATTCAATACCAAATTTTGATCTTGATTGTTTTTGATATTCAATAAGAGGGACACATCGGTTCTGTTGGTACTCAAAAGCTATTGAGGTTTGATACCCAGTCCATACTCATACGTGATCTAACATCAATCTAATATACCATGTAGCAATGCATTAAAGTGCTCTGAAGGCAAGTACTTTGTAACAATCAGGTTTTCTCATTTAGCTATGCAGTGCTCTCAAATGAAATGGATGTGCTATCTCATAAATTGAAATGGAGAGAGCAGAACATTGCAAAGTCAAGAGAGCAGGATGGCAGTCCTTGACCTTCATTCTACATCCTCTCCTCTTACTCAATGTGACTGTGAATATTTTTTGAATGGCTTCTCTCTCCCAGCTGTGTTTTTCATGTCCGCTTAATTGGAGACTAGAGGTAGATTAATTCATCCAGGAGAATTCAACTTTGTTTTTCTATCTGAAGTTTGTGCAGGAGTGCGTATTAGGCTCCCAACTTTTTGCTGATGTATAGCATCAATACTGACCTTGGCTGTTGCCCTGAGTGAATGCATGATGATGATTTTTAGAAGTTAGAAGTTGGATGTGAGTCTGAAGTGGGCCCTTATTCGATTGACAAAAGCCTCTCAGACAAAATATGGATCCCAGATAAATCCTCTCAGAATTCGCAGGTATTTTCGATCTCTCATAACGCTGATGTGACTGTATTGAGCTGGGAGACTCTGACACCATTCATCTTAGCAGCTTTTCTTTTAATTACTGCTCTCCCGTGGGAGCCAGCCGGGTAGTTAAACAGAGAAATCAGCATTACAGCAATTATTGGCTCACAATGAAATGAATACAATCTTGTCATCTGTAATCATTGGGGGCGTCTATGCCTGGGAGAAAACAGCTTCTCCTTTCTGTTTCTCAGTAAGGGGAGGAAGTGTGTTTTACATGGATGCAGAGGGGATCCTGGTGTACCTCAGCGGACAGAGGTACCTATTTAGTGCTGAATGACAGTCTATTGGAAGTTGTAGAACCAAGGAAAATTCCTATGAAAATAATCTTTGCATAACAGTCATGATGGAAAAGCACAGCATACACAGTGATTGCTGGAAATCTTTAAAGCTGCCGTAATCAATATTTATCATTAGCAATGGGTCATGTGACTATGTGTAATGTGAAAGGAGTCGCTCATAGTGATAAACCCACAGAGTACTATTACTTTGCAACTCTGCAGTTCCATTCAGCAGTCCGTCAGTCAGCAGGCTTAGTTGTTTTGGTTTTGCAACCAGACCAACTGTCACCTTCACCGCTCTCATCAGCATCATTTCCACACTCAGCAGGCAGCTGTTTGCAGCTAAAACGCTCTGATAAACCCACTGTACACTACCTGTATAGCAGCGAACAGACCAAGTTAGCGACTAGCTGGGGGAAATACTGGAATATTTGGAAGCTAAACAGCCAGCTATTTCCCTCAGGAGCTGGAGAATACTCAAGTGAATACTGGTAATACTGGAAATACTGCTAATACTCAGTAACACTGAATGCAAACACTTTTGTTAGTTTACAAAAAAACACCACAGAGCAGATTTTATTTTGTCTAGTTTCAAAACCATAACCTAATTGGTTGGATTGGTTTCCTGAATTGCATGCAGCTTTTGGTTATCATCCATGCCGGCATGACATGGAACTATGTATCTCTTTCTACCTATCTTGCTACTTCTTTCTCTATATCTTTATCTTGTTACATCATGGTTGCATGGTCAAGTAGTTACAAGTAGACACTATTTTGAAAACTCTTTTTTGTGGAATAATACTGCTAAAAACTAAGTTTTCAAGGAAAACAAACTAATAATAATAATAATACCCTGATGGCTGCTTATTTTCCTGGTCTCAACAGGTTCATGACAATGAGAATGATGTCAAATTGTCAAGTTGGCAACCTATGATTGTTCACTTTATTATCTTCTGAGAATTACTTTGTCTGAGTTTATGCGAATAAGTGAAACTAGCTGTTAAAACTTCAAATCCATATGCCACCATAGCCTTTATGTACACTGGAAAAGTCAAGTGATCATGCCTCAGATACAGTCCTACAAATTCAGACCTGTATAACTTACATCTTCTACTGTTGGCTGTTGAGCCGCTCAACTGAAATGGGAGATAATGAGTCTTGCTCTAGGGAACACTGGCAGCACTGTAGCTTGTGAAACTGAGGAAAGCATTTATTTCGTTTCCACGACCTCCACGGGGACTTGATATTCTTGTCATACACGAGTGTGACCATATTGATGCAATCTGTTTTCTGTTTTTCTGTCTGCAAGAGTCTATGTCGACATCATCAATATAATGTTTAACACATACTAAATTGAATCTTTTAGTTGTATCTTTTTTCCTCATATAGGATGTGGCTTGGCTGATTTGTCTTTGTTCTTCCTCCACAGCTACAGAGCGATCTGGACCAGGAGTACCAGGACAAATTTCGACGGCTACCCGTGGAGATACAAGAGTTTGTTCAGGACAGCAGCAAGGCCAAGCTTAGTGACGATTGTGTCCATGGAAACCTTGTTGCCTCCTCAACAACAGAGAAGCTCAACCACAAGGCGTCACAGTCGGAGGACGACACGGAGGAGGGCTCGTCGGAACGAGTCTACGACACGCCCCTTTAGAGATTTAACCTCAGCGCTTTGCTTCACACTGGGACACTGATTGGTGGATGTGTTTGTGACCACAGATCTAGGATAAGACTGCCCCAACTTTGGTCCTAATTTTGACCAATGGGAGGATTAGATCAAATCTGAGCCTGAATTGGTGAGTAGAGGTCCTCTCTGCGTAGAGTGCAGTCTTGTCTGGAAAACCGTTTCATGTAAATAGTAACTTTTTGTGTATTTATATGTTACCTTTTATGTTGTCGTCTCTTTCGGTACGGCCACAGGATGTGTTACAAAGCACTAACTATTTGCAGGAAATAACTTACTTGAACTATTGCACAGAGAGAGTAGTTTCTTTTTATTATTTTTTATTATCTTGATATTGACAGTTGTGGTGGTCAGTGAGGTGTGTGGTGCCAAGGTTTTAAATTCACTTACAGTAGACATCGTCATTTAAGTGGAGTCAACTTGTACTGTAAAGAAAACCACTGCATATTTAGCCTTTAAAGCTTCCATCTTTATAAGATTTAGATTCACCCTTACATATTTGCACTGAAGGCTCACTATGTAACTATGTAATTCCTTTCCTTTAACCCAGAGGCACTGGTGGCTTGCTGGTTCTCGATTTTGTTCTCACAGAACTAAGCCTATGTGTTGCTGCTACTTTGTTTTAAAACTTGTTTTTTAACCATTATTTGGTTTGTATGATGTCTGGCATGGTAATATTATGCAGTGCTCTGTCATTTGTTTTGGGTTTTTTCTTTTTTTTGGCTAGTTTTTAAAAGATTTGTGTTGATTGTGGGCATTTCTGCTCAGAGAGGAAGTGAAGGGAAAGTGAGTTGTATAGTATCTGCATGTATTTGAACAACTGTAAATGTTACAGTAGCTCTGTAGCAGAGATGTTTATTAAATGTAAATCTATTTTCTCGAAAACATTTAAACTAAACCTGCAAAACAGTGTGGGCTTAATACATCACTGTGGCTGAACAGGTCTGAAATAAGTAACACACCCCTTTCTTAAAACCAACAGTAGCTGGCTCAAGTTAACAGGTTGCAGATTGTATTCGTTACCTTTGTCCTCTTAAACTAAAACAGTCAAACCAGGATATTCGAATAGAAAAAGAGGATCCTGCTGTAGTTTTATAGAAGTTGCCTTCCTCTTAACTGGTTCATTGTGTACCTACAGAGGAGTGTCCACACAGCAGATGCCCGGGTCCACAGGAATATGTCCTCCACTGGCATTATCTTTAATGTTCACCCACAATTGGTAGCTGTAGTTTGAAGTGGGGAAATAGTTCAGTTATGTGTAAACAGACCCCAAACGCTCAGTTTAAATCTGTCAAACACCAGCGTTAACATGATCTAATAAATAACTGGACTATTTCCTCTTTAACTAAGAAAATGTGCCCATTCAGTAACTATAAGGAAGTGGTTTTGACTTCCTAACTGTCCAGTGCCATTAAACTCAAGGGTCATTTGATATCAAATCATATTTCAGCTGAAAAAAAAAAAAAGAGTTGAAAGTGAAGGATTACCTGACAAGTAAGTACAAACAACTTTTTAAAAAGACGATATTGATGTGAGTCCTGTGCCTTTGAATAGGTTTGCCTTGTTTGATGTTGAATGTGTGAAATGCATCATTGTTTAAATTGCCATTATATTATATTATATGAAGCTGTCTGATATTGAATAGACCGTGTGCACTTTTAAGTACAGTACCACTACTGAGTAATGCTTGTGATGAGCAGTATTTGACATGAGCAGTGTCTCATAAGAATTGCGAGACATCCTTCTTTTATGTCTTGAACCACTTTATTTAACAGTCCCCCTCCCCTACTCATCAACGTATGTGTATGCACTCTGGAAATGTAAATGTATGTATGACATAAAGGATAAAACATGAAGTTGATAAAAAAAATATAGTGTAAAGGGAAATTGCCTGTAATTAAAATAAATGTGGCTATTATTGTACTTTGCTCGAGTGGACTTGTGTGTCTTTTGATTTGTCATTGGTCAACCTAAAACTGTGTTTCCATTTTTATTTTAACATTTTAAACCTTTATGTCTCTGTGATGTGATATATTTGATATATTCATCACCCTCTTGTATTCAACTATCAAACAGTTCCTCATTATTTGTGTGTTGTGCTTTCATTTTGTTTGCCTTAAAATGTGTCACTTGTTTCATTGTCATGCCTTGTTATTTTACTCAAAATAGAGAGGTTAATCTTTGTAACATAGTAAATACTGGATAATAAGGGTGGATAAAGAGAATAGAAGAGTACAGTAGAGAAGATGTAAAACAGTGATTCAAACCCAGCTATAGAGAGTGTGTTTGGCAGCATCTGTATGTATGTATGTATGTATGTATGTATGTCACACTCAGGGGCAGGGGGGAGCGGGGGAAAGCGTTGATGACCTACTTCCTATGATCTCCTGGGTAACAGCACCTTTGAAATAACCCTAAGAGGAACATGAATTAGAGCACTTTTGTGACTGAATCAGTGGTCACCACTTGAAGAGTGAGAGGCACTGAAATCATTCAGACTTGTTAGCATTTATTTCTAAGGACAACACTTGTGACTCATGCAAATTTGCTTTGAAGTTGGTCACTATGCATTGACATATGGTGGACTTCTGTCTGGCAATGCAAGACCACTTGAGTCGTAACGAAATTAGTGAGAATATACAGTATGTGCACATGCATCTACATGTTTGTGTTACACATCCTGTGCCTAAGAAGTTAAATGGATCACTTCATTCATTTTTAATGTTCAACACATTTTCAAACAAAGCTTGTTACTCATTGTGTGGGTGTCGGTGGCATGTGTCTGTTGTGTTCTGTGTCAAAACATACTATGTCCTTGTAGCCACGTGTATGTGTGTCCTCACAGCTTGCATCCATGTGCTCCAGAGTGGCATTTTTCTGCTCTGTGTAGTACATATTAGTGCTGCTGGTGTGTGTGTGTGTGTGTTTTCCAGACTACATAAACACTGTGTCCTTCTCAGTCTCAGCTCCTCAGCAGAATCCCAACAGGCAACAGGAGATAAGACAAGCCTGGTCGCCCATAACAACCACTGTGACCATTCAGAGGCCTCCATGCATACCGGCAACTAGGAAGTGAGCTAATTAACCCCGAGTTCAGGACGGAAGGAGGGCGGCTTTTTAATAAGATTCTCTGGGTTATATAAACAGTGACGCCCTACCAAACTCCCAGGAATATTATCACCCTGCGTTTGTCCATCTGCTGTGGGTATAAGGAGGAGGAGGAGGTGTCCTGTAACTGGGCTTTAATGAGGCACACCAGGACAGCAGAAGAGAAGGGGACCACAGGGTGCTGCTTGGAAGGTACAGTAAGCAGATACACACACATACACAAATAGACACATACAGGTGTTAATAGACATGCTGTAGTACTACTTGAAAGGATCTCCTGACTACGTTCAGTCCTTGGCCTTAAATCTAATCCCATCCCTCTCCACTTAAAAATCTTAATGTAAACCTAAGCCAGTCTTAAACTTAAACCCAAAGTAATGCTAACATTAAGTCTTACCTTAATCTTTTCTGAATCCACTTCTGATTGTAATTCTAACAATATCCGTCCAAGACCATGACCTAAAACCTAAAATGTCCTCTTTAGAGGGATGAGGAAAAGCACTACAATCAGTTTTACACAATTTAAGCGCAGAAAAACGTGACTATGCAGTGTATCATGGGCACTGTCCTTCTAGTGTCACAGCAGGTAGCCTACTTAAGTATTCTGTGGCACAGGAAATGGGAAACAATAAAGAGGTGCTCCGATGATTTCAGTTTACACGTCATTGAGGGTACTACTTAGTGAAAACAGTTAATATGGTACATTATAATATCGTCTGTGGCTCTGGAGGACCTCATAATGTCATCAGGGTTATTTGGGGTTGTTAAGGAGCCTGCGTTACAAACTGGGAGAGTTTGAAATGCAGTGTACAGTGTAATAAAATACTATTGAGTTGCATTGTGGGAATTGTAGG